AACTCATATTGAATCAGACTACAATAATAATGCTGCAGGGAATCGGTCTTAATTTCAATTCATTAGTCGTCATGTGTTCAAGCACAATTGATTAAAAACAAATCATTGTAATCACGATCATCAAAAATGAAAATGAACCAATATGAACCACTAGGATTCGTTGATTTATCAAACTGCCTCGACAGAAACATAAGCCATCACAGTACAGAAACATCCACTTTTCTTAATCCATTCAAAAAACACAATGAAATAGAAAATGCTTCATTTTGTGTTGAATCTATAATAATCATGTCATGCCTGTATGAAGAAAAAGAAACAAGACTGACTAATAAAAAATATTGATTAAAACTCTGTCCCCAATTTGTTGCTAATACATAAAAGATATCAACATTTACTCAATACAATTTCCTTCTTTTAAGTTGTTGCCCTTTAAGCCTCAGATTGGTCAACTGGTCAGAAAGAGATGATTTTCTGAAGACAAGAAGAAACACTGACCCTTCAAATCCCACTGACAGCATTGTTTTCTAATAATGTGGCAATCACACATACTCAGCTAACTTTGCAAAGGGTGTCTTTCAGTATATATTACACTAATGTGTTGAAAGTCTATAAATGAGCATGATTGGATACTTATCATTATCAATTAAATATATATACGACATAGCCAATGATAAGCAGGTTAAACATGGTGCACAAGGCTGCTGCTTTCTTGTTTTTAAGTGTTCATATTTAATAAATTGCAGCACTGAGCTTAGAACAGGTTTAGCAATTCTCCAAGCAGATTAGGATGCCTACTGCGTGCTTGTGGGGGATTGGGCACACGAGCACAATGCTATACGCTAATGCAGCAACACAGATTACCTCTCCTCAGTGGCACAAAGCTGACCACGGACTGACCGCTTCTCTCTGGCACCGCCGCCACACGCATGCAGGCATGCACATGTGAACGCCGAGCCACTCTCCCAGTATGACTAACCGCCCACACACACACACGCACACACACACACACACACGGTGACATATATGCACACATACCGCGCACACATGGTTCCCAAGAACTTGAGCCAGATCATCCTGTGTTGAGCTCTTCAGTATGTATAGAGATAAGACGTCTAACAATACATTACATTATCGGTAGGAATGAA